TAAATTAATTGATTTAAAATATGGTTATTTTCACTGTGTAGCGAAAATAACCATATTTTAAATCAATTAATTTATAATACATATATATATATATATATATATATCTCACTGTTATAGTGGAACACACCTATTACACACAGTTAATAGACTCACCCACCTATAATAAGTAGGAGTAGTAGCAGTCGCTCAGTGAGTTGGTCAGTCAGTCGATGTCGGACGACCATTAGTTGGATATTAAAGTATCAGTCACCACAACTAGATTACTGCGTCATTACCTATTATAGCAAGTTCCTGACGTTTTGTACGTCGAACCTATTTTAGGACCGACTTAGTACAAATACAAGCCTCCACTGTGAAACCACTACATAACAATCACACAAAAGGGATGCTGCTGGAAAAGCAATACATCAGCAATGTAAACACGTGTGAAGATGAATGCAAATTGGAGAATGGAAAAAAAAAACATTGTTAATTGTTCATTAATAAGGTATTTGTAGATTTTAAGTGGCACACATAGTAAGTGACGTTCTGCTGTTCATGTAGCAATGGAAAGAAAGAAACCAGGCTATGAGATGCAGAATAAAGGAGCTTATCTGTATTGTTTAAGGTTATCCAAAGGTACTTTAAAAAAGTAGGCCTCCCAGGTAGGTTATAGTCACCAAAAATGCATGACTTTTAACCTTTCCAGAAAAAAATTACCTTTGTATGGTAAACTGGTCACTGAAAATACATAATTTTTTTTTTTTTTTATTGATTCATATTCTATGGCTTAACAACCTTTTGCAGGTTATTTAAAGCCAGAAAATATTTTTAGATGGTAAGAATTCTTTTTTTAAAAATAATAATGGTTTAATGATACAAATCTTACTAATTAACCCTGGAGTATAAAGAAGTGGATTCATGCCTTTCTCAAGGGTATTTGCATGTAAGTGAATATAATGAACCCAACTGAAATTGGAACTCAACTCTCTGATTAACAATTCTGAGCTATTATCTATTACACTGCCCATACATCCAAGCTTACAGAACCTGTTATTCCCAAGTGGTCACTCATCTAGGTACTGACAGGGCTTGACATTACTTAACTTTGGTTATCATACAGGAACCAGTATTTCAATGTGATGTGGTCATAAGCAGCATGATTTTTAACCTCTTCAAAAAATTATCTGTGTATAGTGCAACCCCTTATTCTTTGCATAACAAAACTATACTTGAGTATATACGGTACTCTTTTCCTACTGTCAGTCTATGTGTAATGATAGGTTCCTACGGATACAGGAATACATGTAAGTTAGGGCAGTTTAATTTTTCACTGCTTTTAGAAAATCAACATGTTAAAGCTGGGGTTTAAAATCGTAAGTACTGACATCAGCAATTACAATCATAGCTTTTATCAATTTTTTGAGCATTTAGTTTTAAAGATTGTCTTAAAAAATGTACACAAATACCTAATTTCCACAGGTTTTTGCTTACAAACTGACTTCAAAATATTACTGTTTCAAGAATAAATCCAAATAAATTAATACCTTTTGTATTAGATACACTGAATAGAAAATCTATTCAAACCAGAATTCTAATTATGTATCATTCAAAGTGCATGGAGTCATGGAGGAGAAGGATGGGTAAGTGCGTTAGACTCAAGGGGGATAATTTTGAAAGAGAAAAATACTAGTTTGTGGTGTGGATTTGACGTAATTGTTTTGTGACTTCAGTTCTGTTTCTTTTCTGACAGACCTTGTATATGTTACACTAACCTTTATACTGTTGGTGTCTGTTAAAACTGACATTGTTTTTCATATATATTGTAATCAATTTGCTTAAAGTTTGTATTTATAAATTATAGTTTAGACAAAAAAAATGATGTCAATTTAAGCCAGTGTTTCTAAACCAGTATTCCTCAGAACCCTAAGGTACTGCAAGAGGTTGCCAGGGTTTGCACAAAAAACAGTGATAAATAGGCTAATGCATTTTTGAATAAATTTTGTTTAATTTTATATCAGTAATTTTACTATACACGTACGCCATATTGTTGTAAAATCCTTGGTTATTATAATGAAGGCTAACGCTTCCTATATTATTTTAAAATTATAATTAAAACAACTGGAAGAAAAGGCTTAACTAGTGATCATTTTAAACCTGATTCAGGATATAAAAAGGCCACAAAGCATTGAAAAAAAAAAAAATATAATTCTGTGGTCCGGATAACTAGGATCAAAGTGTAATATCTGTTCTGACAGCCGGTATTCTTTTTTTTTTTTAACAAAAATAAACTTGGCAATATATTTGTTTATCCAAGTCTTTGTTTTGTTTGTTGTTGTCTTCCATCATTCAATATCTGTTTGCAGGCCAATATACCATCCATAACACATCTAGCAATATCTATATGGTGTCAGTGTGAAACTGCCTTCATTAGTTATTGAAATATGATAAAAATATAAAAGAGATATTAATAGTGGTATTATTGTCACTTTTGCAATGTCAAGTAGGACCTTGTTATCACTTCCAAAAATGCTTGTTATATTTGAGACTTTGTAGATGCCAGTACTGGTAGTAACACCTTCCAATAACATTTGCACTAGTAATACTTCTTCAAGTAGTAATCATCAAATAGTATAATGATTAGAAGAGAATCATAATTAATAAATAGAATGAAAAAGTGAACGATAGCAATAGTGGATAGACAAGAAGAGTAAACAGTGAATGTATAGTCATAATGCTAAGAAATATTTATTCACTTCCTTTAGGATCATTGCATATGTTAATAATGAAATCACTTGAGATTAGACTGGTGATCTAGTTTCAAACCACAGAGTGTAAACAGCAATTAATTTATAATAATTTTTTTTATGCAGTGGTTCTGGAGACATGAGAAAAAGATATTTTTTAAACTAAGGCAAAAAGAACAAAAGAATTTAAAAGTAGTTTAATGAGATCATTTTTCTATCTATTAATAAAAGAAAAAATCAATTAAGATAATTTGAAAGAAAATTCTTTATGCTGGGTTTTTGTAAATCCAAGACAATTTGGAAATCACCTAAAAGGTATTGGGAGTAAGGATTGTCTGAGACTAGCTGATGGAATATTATCCTAAAATCCTCATTTATAGTGTCCTTTCAAGATCTGAAGAATTCCTGAATTTTGTTGCTTTAAAAATACCTCTTGTCCTTCTCTGCCATCCACTTTACTCAAACTTTATTTATATATATATATATATATATATATATATATATATAATGAGGAGAAACGGTGAAATATTTGGATTGAAGGAATCGCAGAGACTTGGTTCAATTACAACAATCATTACTTTCAAAAAAGGTATGATCTCCCTCCAGCTATTTGTAAAATAACAGAAGTTTTCTATTTATGCTGGATGGCAACTGGTCTAGGAGAAGGAGAAAAGAATTCGGAGGGTCGTTTGGGAATTTGTTTTCATCATTATTTGCAACAGGTTTCTGTATTCATCCCTCAAAAATTACACTTTCCCTACAGGCCTTCACCACTTAATCAAATCTCATCTTTCAAAAGGGATGTACTTATATCTGTTTTCAAAAGGATCTGATAATTGGTGTATATGGAATGAATTCCAATAACCAACAATTCATTCTTAAAAAGAGTGTTTAATAATTTGAACAGATATAATTATTTTTAAAAAAAATTATAACATAACATGTTATAAAATTAAAAAAAAAATATTATATATATATATATATATATATATTATTGTATGTATATATATTTTTGAAACATGGTTAAGACTATGAGCGAAAAAACATATTTTATATCACTTAATTTATAATATATATATATATTTGTAATCATTTTGTGAGTTTGTATTTTCTTAATTTCAAATGAAAATTTCAAAATTTTAAAACATATTTCAGTGAAATTTTTACTTTCTAAAATTATTGTTTATATCTGTAGTTTGGACGTGTGAGGAAAAAAGGTGTCAGTTTAAACTGATTTTGTCTATATCATTAGCCAATAGTATTTTAGATATTGTTTTTCTTTCATTTTGTATATTAAAAGAATTTAGGTGCATAAAGATTCTTTTATTTTCCATTCTTTCTTTGTACTTTTTTCTTTCCTCTCTTTTTCTTTTTTCCTTTTTCATTTCTTTCTTCTATTCTCGTTTTCCAACATATTTCAATGAATTTTTCACTTTCTAAAATTATATTTTATGATTATAGCTTAGATATATGGAAAAAAAAAGAAAGCATCCTTTTAAACTGATGTCAGAATTATATGGCTTGAAATGGTATTGTTTTCCATATACTGTGTAGTGAGACTCACCACTTTAGTTGTAAGGTGTGGACATCTTTTCAGTAAATATTTATGGACTCCTAGTTTGTCTCACAAACAATATTAGTTGACCCATGTGAGTCCAGGCAAAAATAAGAAAAAAAGAAATTTAAAGAAACAAGCATTAATAAATATATTAAACGGGCATGTTACAAAAATGAGAACTGAAGATAAAGTTGTGAAGAGTTTAAAGCAAGCTTCAGTACAGGACTCTGAGGTACTTACATGCTGACAGAGCGAGAAGAGACATCTTGTCACTAGCAAAACCGGAAGTAGGAAGAAGCTTTTAATTCTCATGCCGCCCTTTATGAATTGATTTTGGGCCATTATCTCACCACTTCTGATTATCATCCGTGGTCGGTAATCCAACAACTGCAACTATTTCCCACTTTCTTGATTTCAGATGAAAACATGGGAATTTTCTGACATATTTCAGTGAATTTTTCACTTTCAAAAATTATAGTTTATAATTATAATTTAGAATATAGATTAAATGTACATTTGAATAGAAAGACAAGAAAAAACATAAGGAATTTTATTTATATATATCAGGTAAATACATTATTTCTGTGTAAGCGAGCCTTGCAGGATTTTTTGCATTTCTTGTAGAAACTTAAAACTGGATGCAATTCACTTATGGCATATAAAATAAATGTTTCACGAAGGAGGAAAAGTAAGAAGATGAATTCCAAATAAATATTTTAACTCCATATACGCATTGTGTTGTCACTTCCACCAGATATCAAGAATTGTCCATGGTGGTCGAAAGCCATGCATTGGACAGCATCTTCATGGCCAATAAGAGAACTCAACTGTTGAAAAAAAAAGGTTGAAAAAGAAATGGGCAAGGAAAGAAAAAAATCATGATACATATGATATGATTTGCCTTTGATACAGTTTAATTAGAATTTTAGTGTTTCGAGAAAATGTCAGGATGAAATTCATAAAGTCTTTTCTCTATTTGGATTACGTCAATGGTTTTGATAATGATGAAAATAGGTATAAAGGAGTTTTACAAAAGAAATTGTTTTGGAAATTTTTCTTATAAATTTCATCTGGTTGTATGAAAGTCAACTGGAAAGATGCATTAGAAAATTAAACAAACAGGTTTATTTAAGCTGAAATCTGTTATTTATTATACTTGAATCTATAGATGAATACTAAATAGGTTTATACTTGAGTCTATAGGGAAAGATTGGACAGATTTATATTTTGTACTACAAGCACTTGAAAGGTGACACCTTTTTGGGATTGTTCTTATGTTCTTATGCAGTAATGTATTCTAGGCCCAGCTAACAAGGCAAACTAAAATAAAATAATATATATATATATATATATATATATATATATATATATATATATATATATATATATATATATTAAATAAATTCAGATAATATTACTATTACTAATAGTGGTAATAAAGCAATTGAAATGAAGATGATAGAAATCCTATTCCAAAATGAATAATGCTTGACAATGCTGTAACAGAGAATTGGGTCAGCCCAAAAAACAACTCAGAGTTGGTTGTATGTGGTGTTGTAAGCACCAAGATTTGCGTCCTCTTCCATAATAGACTGTTGTAGCTGGTGCTGACTATTTGCATATGAACGATACTGGGCTGGTATTAGTCAATAGTCAGTGTGGGGGTCTGGAAATGAGATAAGCTATATAACATCAGTGTTTTTTCTCAGTTGAGAGCGGGACTCCTGACATGTGGACATGCAAATACCAGACAAGATGAACAAAAGCTATTTCGGCAATTGACGGACAGTGGCAGAGCACAAATTCGATTTAAAGCTAATTCCTGAGTTTGACAGATCACGTCTGGTCTTCTAGTGTTTGTATGGATAGAGAAGCTGGAACTTATTTACAGGCTATGTGGAGTGAAGTCTTTGGAGCATGTGATACCTTTGAGACTTACGGGCGGGGCATTTGCAGTTTACCAACAACTAGATGACAAAGCAAAATTTGACGTTGACCAGATAAAAACTGCCTTAGTTACAGCCTTTGCAAGGATTTGTTTAAGGCATACAAACAGTTCATTGAGTGGCACCTATGGTACGACAAATCCATGGATCTATACCTGGCTGAATTAAAGGAACTCACGTTCTTGATGGGCAGGATGAGTTACCATATGTTGGCTTGTGCATTTGTGCATGGGTTACCAGGCAATGTAAAGCGGACTCTTCTTGTGTTGTCTAGGACCCCGTGAGACTTGATGATGATGCAAAAGTGCTTCGTTTGCAAGTCTGGTAGGGAGCGCAGCATGCTTTGATGGAAGCGAGGGAACAAGTTCCCAGATATTCCAAATGTTATCACATATCATAATATGTTCTCTCTCTCTGCAGAAAACTTGTAGGTCACCTTCCGGTATGTGGTGGGCTTAGGGCAGCTGCAGCATTCATAAAGCGACGGGCCACAGTAGTAACCAAAGGGTGGGACAACAAAACCTCTGACCGCCCCCCCCAAAGCGAGTCAAAAATGAATAATTCTTGACAATGCTTCATCTAATCAAAAATTCCAGATAATATTACTACTAATAATATTACTAGTGGAAATAAAGCAATTGAAATAAAGATGAAAGAAATCCTAGTCAAAATTGAATAACAATAATTGCTTGACAATGCTTCATCTTAAGAATAAGGTGTTTACTCACAGCCTTAGAATGATAGTCTGAGTAGCTGTGATAAAATGCAACTAGAATTAAAGTGAAAGAAATCCTAAGAAAAAAAGAAATTGATAATAACCACTTCTTAAAGAAAAGTGTTAACCTAAAGAATGATTTTACTGAATTCATTTGAGACAATCCTAAAAGTCTTCTGAACTCACCTGTCCATTTGCAATATCGTATATTTTCACAGTGTGATCATCGCAGGCCATTGCAAGTACTGAACCTGGTAACAGAAATGAAAGAGATAAATATATTTTTAATATACCAAAGCTACCTTAAAAAATATTAGTGTATATCTTATCAATGTATGTTGTTAACAGTAGAACTATAGTAAAGAATCCAGACATCAGACATCAGATACTATGGATCCATCATTGGCATCTCCTATGACATAACTTAAGTAGACTTTTCCACTTGTAAAAGATAAAAGGAAAACTTTGATGTTTGTTATAATTGTAATATTCTGAATTTTTATTGATTCAAAAAAGGTCTGCTTCATAACATTGATACAGTGTAAAATATTAGTGAACATCCTCAATACTACTAGTGGAAATAAAGCAATTGAAATAAAGATGAAAGAAATCCTAGTCTAAAAACATCCTCAAAAACGAACCTGCGTTATGTGTGCCGTTTTCCAAGGGAGAAGAAAAAAGTGTAAAAACTAACCAGAAAACGAATACGACAACAAGAAATGCTTACCTGAATGAAAAAAATTCCACATGTTGTCCAAGAGAAAAAAAAATGACACACATGGTTTGCATAAGTCAGTGTGAATCTTGAAGGATATATAAATTCCGAAGAAGGTTCATGTTGCCTGATTCAAATTAGGTTCTATAAAACTTGATTGCAGTTGGGGAGTTTGTCTATGAGACGTTAAGTTGCGTGGAGGATAAGTTCATGAGACGTGCAACTGCTAGATTGAATTTTATCTCCCACATAAAATTCTGCTACATCATAATTGTAAAATATTGAATTTTTATCGATTTAGATGGGGTCCTGTTCATAATATTAATACAGTGTAAAATTGATCCCTGACTTTTGACAAAGTTATTGGACGACCATTTTGTGTATGAAAACAGATATTTTTTCTATTACAAAAGATTTCTTTTAAATGCAGAACAAATGGGCATATACATTTTAAATTAAAGAATAAAAAATTACATAAATTAATAAAAGTGTTTATTTTTTATTTAAGATAGATAATTATTATTCTCCAATGTCTATGCATTTTATTCTACCCACCCATCACTACCCAAAAAGATTCTCAAAAAAGTTTAAAAAATTAAAAAAAAAAAGAATATGCAAATATCAATGATGTAAGCATAGTTTCAAACATGACATTTGTAAATTACAGCTAAGTCCAATAACTCTGTAAAAAAGATGATTTTACACTGTAGCAATATTATGAACAGGGCCTTGCCCTAAATTGGTAAGAAATCAATATTTTTCCATTCTGACAAATGCTGTGGCTTGAGAAATGTCTAATGAGTTCTAATCTATAAAAAATATTCTCTGGAAAAATTTTCCCTATTTTTATGAATGGGTTCATTCTGTTGAAGTGTTTCCCTAAAATGATGCAGTGCAAGACCCCATCAAACAAGAAACAAGTGCACTGGAAGACGTCATAATCACTGTCAAGAAGAGAAAATTGGAATGGTATGGCCATGTTATAAGAGCCTACAATCTTTCCACTACCATGCTACAAACTTTTCTTATGCCTCTTGATTCCTTGGGGAACACACGGCTATAACAACACCTCTCCAATGGACACGGTTCTGGGTGATCCTCTTCAGCTCGGCCCATGCCGTGCCGACTGCCTTCACCTCTGCATCAACACTTCTGCACCAAGTCTGTTTTGGTCGACCCACTTTTTGCTTCCCTTGTGGATTCCAGTTAAGGGCCTGCCTGGTGACACTAGAAGCAGGCTTGTGGAGTGTGTGGCTGATATATCCCCATTTCTGTTTCTTGATGTCAATCTTGATTGGGGCTTATCTGGTCCTGTTCCACAGTTGGTCATTGAAGATGATTTCCCTTGTGGATTCCAGTCAAGGGTCTACCTGGTGACACTAGAAGCAGGCTTGCAGAGTGTGTGGCCAATCCATCTCCATTTCTGTTTCTTGATGTCAATTTCGATTGAGGCTTGTCTGGTCCTGTCCCACATTTTGGTCGTTGTAGATGACTTCCAGACACCTGATATTGAGGATGTTCCTGAGGTTTGTGGGTGTTGGTCTTGGTTACCTGCCAGGTTTTTGAGCCCTAAAATAGTACCAACTTGACATTGATGTTGAAGATCCTATAAGATACCATGCCTTAAGCATAGTATCTTGTAGGATCCTATAGGACCCTTAAGAGTCAGAAAAAGAAAAAAACAAAATTACTGAATGAACTCGATGATCATTCACGGAGACTCAGGCATGGCATATATCTGGGGCATATGGAGGAAGCTGGTTAGGTGCACAGCTTTGCAGAGACCCTGTGACCACATCCAGTCATGGGACTGATGATAACGTTTGAGCTATGTTTGTCTGGATGGTCCATCAAGAGTAGAACGGTATTTGTCAGTGGAAAGAATGTTTGAAAAATTCATCTTTATTTATTCTGTTAACCATTTCATTCAATTTTTCTGATCGATGTCTTTTTTTAAAAACCAATCCCCCCCAGTTAAGGCCACTAAGACAGAAAGGAGCTACTGAAAGGGAAGGAAAAGGAAAAGACTTTAGAAGAAACCAGAAACCCACCCTTAAACATGAAACAAGGGATAAACCAGGAGGAATGTGAACCAGATGATAAGGCCTAGTGATTATTCTTCTTCTTCTATATACCATGTCCCTTCAGGACATTGGAGATCATGGTTCTCCCCAATTTCCTCTCATGTGTGGCCCTTAATAAATTTTGCCTTATAGGTATTTCTCCTAAATCCTGTCTTGATATCCATTTACCCAAGTTCACCAGGTAGGTTATGCATTGTTTTCCTCTGTTCCTCTTATCTTCAAACTGTCCTGTGAGTGTCAAGTTTGCCAAGCCTTCTACACTCATTATGCGCACCAGAAATTTCAACTATCTCTTTCTGATCTTAAGTATAAGTATGTATTTTGTTTCCATTTTCTCTAAAACTTTGTTGCTCATGTGTTCAGTCCCTGGTATTCTCAGCATCCTTCTATAGAACCACATTTCTGTCGTTTCATGTCTCTTTTTTATCATTGAGGAGATTGTCCAGCATTCATTGCCATATAGGAAGACTGATATTACATAATAGTTCAGTAGTCTTTTCTTTGTTTCTAATGAAATTTTCCTGTTTCTTAATACTTTCCTTAGTTTTAGGAAGGCACCATTTGTTATCCTAATGCACCTTCAGATTTCTGTGTCACACTTTTCATCTTTGGTTAAAATACATCCCAGATATTTAAATTGTTGTACTTGTTTGTTTTTTTATTTTCGATTTGTAATTTACATGCTGGGTTGTTCCTTTTGCTGATAACAATGCATTCTGTCTTCTTCTTCTGAAATAGGGTTCACACCTCCCTCAAAAAAAAAATTTAAAGAAGTGCATGGTTTGCCAAAGAAAAATGAAAAAATAAATCCTAGATAATTACTTAAGCATGCCTCACATATGGTATGGTATTTTTTTTATCTTCCTCATTGTGAACAATTGCAAAATTTACCTCTTCAATAAGAGCTACTATATCTACTGGTATAGTTAGTCTAAAATAGCCAATAGGGAGAGTGGGACATTCCATTACAACAATTTAGGACTCAACATTTTGCATGTTTCAACACCTCTTCTTGTTGCCACAATGTCTAAAAGTTTCATAGACTGAAAAAGAGGGATTTTTAATAACTTCTTTCTTGATAACGGACACTGACTGATGAGAAAAGCTCTTGTCCTTGTAGTGAAGAAGTGCTGCAGGTTTAAAATGGTCAGGGATGTTGTTGGTTACCCGTTTGTAAGCAGGGGTAATGCTACTTTGTAACAGAAGTGGTTGCTTAGAAATCATGATAAAGAGATTGAGAAATTTCAAAGGAAACAAATTCAACATTTTCAAAAGAAAGAAATTTCATCACATGGAGCAATTTCACATGTATATTTTTGCATAAAGGATAACATAATTCAAGAAGAGAGAACATACATGTTCACAGATAGCTGAAAAAGGAAGTAAAAAACTCAGTTGTTAGAAAATGTTTTTGTGTGAGATGTGCCACATGGCTGGCTGAGATTGAGAAGATGGCCTGCCAGAGGAAGAAATCTTCCCGGAAGAGAGAGGTCCTGTTGTTTTTGCTATTACATTCTGGAGCAAAATAGAGGAAGAGGGAGTGAGTCCTTTCCTTTTATACTGTAGATTGCCATGCTATTTAGTTGGCGTCCTGGCAAACAAGGTGGATGCCATCCCCACAGATCAAACATCAGAATGAGATGTTTCAAAAGAAATGAATTTAACACATGGAGGAGTTTTATATAAATATTCTTATATAAAGAATAAGATAATTCAAGAAGAGATCAAACCTCGCACTGCTCTTTTGCTACTTCTACAGAAACTGCTCAGGCAAACTACATTCCCTGATCCCACCAATTCAAACCTTTAGGGCAAGGACACACCATTCCACTTACATAGTAGCAAACCACCGACATTCCCTCTGTATTCCATCAGTGAGAAATAAGTCCCACTCTAACAGCATCTTCCTGTGAACCACTTCTCTGTGGAACTGACTCTGAAGGGGATTTTTCCCCAATCATACATGTACAGAAAGGGGCTAAGAAAGGAAGAAAAACAAAAAAAAAAGTATGTGTGTTTGTATATAGGTGATGTGCCACATAGTTGGCTGAAATTAAGACTGCCTGGGAAAGAAATCTCCTCTGGTGGACAGAAGTCCTGGTATTTAGCTATAATATTCCACAGCAAGAGAGAAAGAGAAAAGTCATGTCTGTTTTCTTTATAGTCCTGAACAGCGCAACCTAATGGGCATCTTTGCAGATAAGATGGGGGTAATCCCCACATTCTTCTCAGTCCTCAATTGATATCATCCAGGATATTCTATGAACATCTTCAATGATCAACAGTACTTGCTGATCATCTTTGCCATTTCTAGCATGCGTTTGAATTTTGCAAGCGTTGAAATTATTAAATATTTCTCTTTATCTATCGCATCAGCCTTCCAATCTGTTTTAAAGCTTGAGACGTATATAATATTATGGCTGTACAGATTAATGCAAATACAAGATTTCGTTTCTCTTACATAACATTACATTTTATTTAACTCTGGTCTTTTTTTTTAAATGGTATCACTCCATGCAAAGCAGTAAAGCTACTAAGACATAAAGGGTTACAGGGTGTAGAAGAATTAGGAATAGAAAAACATTAATAATGAATGGGAACAGGAAAGAGTAATCAGGAGTAATAATGAGTAGATAGCGATTGACATTGCATTTAAATTTTTGCAGATTAAAGTTGGCTGGAAAGAATGGAGTCAGAAGGGAGTTCCACAAGTGAGAAGTACAAGAAAAGAAACTGTTAGCAAGAATTTATGATTATATTTAGCCAGCTCAACTGTAAATTGATGATTTGATGCCAATCTAGTACTGTGCTTAAATTCAAAAAGTCTAGGTACCATAGTAAAGAGATCATCTGAACAATTACCATTGCAGTATTTATAGAAAAGGCACAGAGAAGCAACCTTACGGTGGCACAAAGTGGGAAAGTGAAACCGAGAGGCCAGAGCAGGACCAATAATATTGCTGATTCTTTTTTAAATTTTATCAAGTAGTTCAAGGTTAATGGTCAGTTACCATCAGCCTGTGGACATGAACACCTAAGTTCGTATAATATTATGGCTGTACAATCTACAGGTGTAGACTGTTCTCGTACTACTGCCCATGTCTAGGTATATCTTGTCTTGTTATTATGTTTAGTAATGGTCAGTTATTGCTCCCCTTGTTTCCACTGAGTCCAAGTACACACTGCCCAGTATTTTTCCAAACAAATTTCATTGATGGGTTTGTGAAATTGAACAAAATGTAGAGTTTGTAAATCTTGACAAAATGTTAGCGATAACTTCATACTAAATACTGTGAGGATTTCACCACGTGTCAGCATGTTGTATAGAAATTCTAGTCTATCAAATAATCATCTTTTACAAAAAGTACACTTCTTAAGAGGATTTACATTTTTTTCTAAAGAAATTTTCAATATGTTTCTTTTTCTTCATGTTTTGCTTATTTTACATATCCGCAAACCATGAAATGGCTAATAATGTGAAATGCTGTGTAATGTGATCATTGCACTTATAAACATGACAACAACTTGTCTTAGAAATTCAGAAAGAATCCCAATCAAATATTCACTTACTTGTGGGGTCAAAAGACACTTTATTTACAGAAAAATTCCCCACTTCAAAGCTGAACATGGTGGCCACTTTTCGGGTGTCCCATATTTTGACTGTACCCAGAGCATCACAAGAGGCCACAGTATCACCCTGTAGAAGACAAAGAACAAAAAAGTTAAAATTTGTGAAAACTGAAAACATTACATTATTTTTAAAATTTAATTATTGTAGACATTATATGTCTATTATATTATATACTAGCTTAAAGGCCACACTGGGTGCAAACTTATAAGGTAGCTCCTGCGGATGGATAATTGGGCCTTGGGCCCAAAAATAATGCGACCTCTGGTCCAGTTTAGAAAACAGCAATGATAATTTTGAAGAAATAATTTTGAATTCCTCAATTCTCTCCATGGAACTTCAAAACTTTAACTCTGATTCGGGTATAAGAACAATTCCAAACACAATGACTCATTTGGGTCCAAATTCCAATTCAGGCTGAAAATTGAGTTCTTCAACTCACAAACTCCATGGAACTTCAATTGAATTGAGTTTTTCAAAGCACAAACTCTGTGGAACTTCAAAACTTCATGTCCCAAAACCTCTCACTTAAACTCTGATTCGTTGACATTTTGAAGAAATAGAATAGATTTCATTCAATTCACAATGTTTTGGAGATATTTTAAACTAAATTTGATGTGATGGAATAACCTGTCACCCACATGAGTGACTACACTATAGGTAGTAACTACCTATAAGTATCCGTAAGGCAACGGACTACGGGGGTCTAGCTGGGATCTGTTGAGTACAACTCAGACTTACGTGAGAACTACTGACCTTCAAATAGCAGCACTCACTACTGGATTGACTTGTGACGATCATGCGCATAACTGTTTGCATAACCTTTACTTATTTTATCCACTATGTTTTTCAAGTATATATTCCTATTAGCATGGAATACAACAAATTTAAAACAAAATTTTTAAATTCACAAAGTTTTTGTTTTACTTTAAACTCAATAGAAATTAAAAAACTTTTAAAATACTAATTTTTTTCAGTTATTTTAAAATTTGAATTTTTAAATGTTCCCTCCTCCTCATTCAGACACAAATCCTAATGCTGAATGTTCAAGCACCAGATGAAGGGCAGACTTTCAATCCTGTGATTATCCTGATTCCAAAAAGGTATATATAATGTATCTATGTAGTGCAATTGTGGCCTGAGTTAGAGGGGTTTTGAACACACCGACTGACATAATTTAACATTTATTTATTTATATCACAGCCGTGTTTGCTGGCTCAGTCATATCCTGCGATAATCTGATGATCACATTAGCAAAGTCATCTTTCAGTTTGACTTGCCATCTAGAAACTGGCGATGACCCTGTAGCAGATCATGCAGTTGCTAGAAGTGTGTTGTTTGCCAGAACTTCCAGCAGATTAATCTAGTACTGGAGGATTTTCTGACATTCTGCTGTGGCTCTCATGGGCTCAATGATTTCATGGCATGAGATTTAGCAGCAACAGCAGACATTATATGAATGTTTAGGCGTTACAAAACGTCTCTATGTTTAAATGCTTGTAATATTCAAAAACAAAGGATGGTCTTGTTTGCACTTAAATGACTACTGCTTTGGGTTTACCCATCTCATGCTTTTTTTCTCAGAGGGGTGCTTAGAACTGAGAGAAAGACTGCAAAGGGCCACATGAGATAGAAAATTGTGGAGAGCCATTATCACTTATTTCTTGAAGGGATATCGGCACATAGAAGAAGAAAAAGAAGATAATGCAAGAAAACATAAACACATGACATTAATTCTGTTCCAATAAAACTGCTCCATTTACCAGTCCAATTTTAACATAGGAGGTGCCAGACCATCCAAATATCTGAAAATGGGAGCTGCAGAAGAAAAATTTAATAACCACTTGACCAAGTGAATGCTTTACCTTATTGTTAATTCTTGCATTATTGACACTATGTTCATGGCCGTAGAAAGTCTGTCCACACAAACCCTAAAAAGAAAAAAAATGTAATAATCCAGTTATACAGGATCATCAACACAAATATATGTCATTAAAAAATCCTCAAATTGTCAATTTACATAAAAACGTTCAAGAAATCAAGGTCGAAAATTGAATTGAACCTGTTGATTATTGTCTGCTGATCGTTCGCACACAGTTTTGGTTGCTGATTGTATGGAAATATTGAAAAAAGCAAAGGTTATTACCTGAAGCGAATTCACCACTAATCAGGAGGGTGATGTTTCAAACTGCAGGACATCATTCGTCCGTGATTAACGCTCCTCATACATGCAGCCATGGATAGGTGGCAACCTATGTTCAAATGCAGGACAACTCTCTCCGTGCAATTCAACACTCCTTGTGTGCAGAGGCTGTCTGCAGTGAGTGCATGGTGGTTGTTGCCATGGCCATCGGATGTGTAGCTGCAGTAAGCGCTCAAATGAATGCTGTAAGCCTTTGACTGCAAGATGACTCTTTCCGTGCAATTCGACGCTCCTTGTGTACACAGCCTGTGTGCAGTGACAAAAATATCATCACACTTGCACAAAGCAAAGCTAGTCTGGTTGACCATTACTAAAGATGCAAGCTTGATCCTCACTGGGTACCTCGTAAAAATGCAACATTAAATAGCCCACCAAGGCTTGACATGTCATAAAATCAGCCAGCCTAAGTCAGTGTGAAGTAACAGTTTGTGAGGCTAGACTGGTTAAAGGTTTTGGCTTGAAATTCCAATCACCTGAAGCCGGTCTGAGCGTACAATGGCCGAAACATTGTGAATATGGCAATGAAGATGAGGATAATATTTCGAATAATGTGAATAATGTAAGTAAGGATTGACATGTCAAGAAAAATAAACCAACTTCAGCATGGGGTAATGGTTAGTGAAGCCAGTCTCATTGACCACCTATTACGATTGAGCAGTGATTTTGATCCTCACTTATCATGCCACATACAAAATATATTAATTAAATAACCCAACAAGGGTTGACATGATTTAAAAATCAACCAAAAACTCAGTGTGAGGAATAATAGTAAAGTTTCGAAGTAGTCTGCTGGACTGTAACTACTGAATAATGAGTTTGATCCTCACTGGGTGCCCCATGCAAAACTTGACATTAAATGTTAACAGTGATGCATTGTTAATCAACTACCCACAATGCACCACTGACACTAATATATATAAATAGCCGAAAAAAAACAGCAAAAAATTCTTCTTAAATAAATGTATAATTATTTGAATGAAACAAGATGAATAGGCTCTATGTATTGACTTCAATGTTCACTTTTATATTTATTTACAACCTATCTCTGATATTGAGCAAGATATCCCATAAATATAGCACACCTTAAAAGTATATTTCTTTATATATATATATATATATTTATAATATATATATATATATATATATATATATATATTTCAGTTAATGTTGATAATTTTTAATATGAGCAAGAAAAATGAAAAAACCAATATAAATAATACATACAAATAAACTATTTCTTATTTAACAGTTAAAATATTTAATCCTTGAAAATGGCTAAATGTATTATATGAAAATAATATATAAAAAATTAACATTCGGACAGTTTTTATATAATTTATCATCTGAAAAGAAAAAAAATTTGTTAGATTCAAATGAGAAATTGTATAAAAAAACTAAATCAAAATACATTGTCTGTTGTATTCAATGAAATGTGCATGAAAGAAGGATTTCTGCCATAAATATATATACATATATATATATATATATATATATATATATATATTTATATATATATATATATATATATAAAATGTTAAAAAATAACATATAAAAATATAAAATTGTATAAATTATTATATATTATATAAAATTGGAATGATTATATTTTAAAAAAATTTATTTAAAAATTATCTAATTAATTTATATAATATATATATATATGTTTTGTGTGTGTGTTAAAAATAAATGGATGATAATATCTGATGGAATGGTAAATATATAAGAAAATTTGGGAAATTTTAATTTGTGTTCATGAGAATAGCAAAAAATTTTTTTTCAATTTTTTAAATATACAAAAATAACCTTTTTCTAATGATCATGTGTAAAAAATGATGTAAAACATTTGTTTTTTTAAAAAAAAAAAAACTTTTTTTATGAAAACAAAAAAGGACAAAAAAAATGAAAAATGCATCTTTTGTGTGTAATAAAACCATAACATATGATATTCTGGGAATTTAACTGCATATATTTATATAAACTGTCCATTGATTTTCAAACATTTTATTTGCTTTAAAAATGGAAACCAATTTTAAAAATGTTTAGCAAAAAAAATAAATGTTAAAATTTCTAAAAAGAGTGAATATAATAAATTATTCATTTTTTTTTTTCAATTATTTTTTCACAAAAAATTTATTCATGCTTCTATAAATGTAAGCACAATTTTTTTAAAAAAAATACATTGGCGATTTTTTAATTTTTTTTAAATCCATCACCACAACAAAAAAAAAAATAAAATCAACATATACATCAATTTTAAAATTCCTTGAAATTTTAGCATTTTATGTCTGGGAATTTTTGACAGAAATAAATAATGGGATTCACTTTAAATACACTGCAATTCTAAATTTTTATATAGATGTATATAATCTGTTTTAAAGAAATTTAATTTGTCAATTTGATAATATTTTACAATTTTTTTTTGCAAACCATTTCAAACTTTTTGAATTAAAATTCAAACAAAATTAAAATTGTACAAAAATAATTTAAAAAGATTTAATATAAATGAACATATCTATTAATGAAATTTTTTATAAAATTTATTTTTTAATTTTTATCTGAAAGAGTGAAAAAAAATCTGTGAAACTTGACTTGGAAAATTTCTTATAACTTTTTTATTTATTTTTTTTTGCACACATTTACACAAACACAAATATATATTAAATATATTATATTTACACACAATATGTGTGTGTGTGTTTTCGAAACAAAAAATGTAAAATTAAATTTTATTTATTCTTCTAAAAAAATGAAAAAAACTTTTTACCAGAGAATTAAAGAATTTTTTATATAATTTTGTATTCAAAAAAAAAATTAATGGGATTTAAAAATGGCAATTGATGTTGCCTTTAAATTTTTTTATTTATAGATTTAAAATTTTTTTTTTTAAAATTGGAACTTGATTAAAATATTTGAAATTTTGATGATTGTTTTCAATATTCACTTTTATTAAAATGGCAATTTTTTTAAAAAAATTTTAAGATAAAATCACATTTTATCTAGATGCCAATTTAATAGTCTTTAATTTATTTGTTTGTTTCCATATTTAAAATTTTATATCAAAAACATCTTTTAAATTTCTAAATATTTTTAAAAAACAAAAATTATTGTTAAATAGATTTAATATTAAAAAAAAAAATATTTATTGAAAAAAATATTTTCGAGAAATCCTTTTCATCAGAGATATCTGTCTTATCTGTAAATATTTTTGTTTAGAAATTTTTTCAAAAATTACAATTTTTATTTCAATATATTTTAATTTTCATTATTTTAAATGAAAGTAAAAAAATTTGTAAAAATTAATATATATTTTAAAAAATGATTTATAAATTCTATTAGATTATTCATTTTTAAAAAAGGGAACTGAAACAAATTGTTTTATTTGCCATTGTTTTATAAATATTTATATAAATATATATAATGAGTTTATAAAAGAAAAAAAAAAAAAAAAAAATAGCTTTCATATTATAAACAATATTTTATATATATATATATATATATATATATATATATATATAAAAATATGTTTAATTATGGAAAATATGATTTATATTTTCCATTTATATTTCTTTTTCAATGAAAATTTATTTGTATGTTTATAAATTTACCAATATATATATGAAAAACATTTTCATCTACAGGCCCAAAAAATTTTTGAAAAATAAACCTTTTAATATATTTAAAAAATTTAAAAAAGGCAAACATACACGTTTAAACATAATTTTTTACTGAATGAATAATATTTTTTGCAAAAAATGCAAAAAAAATATATATATATTTATATATTTTGAACAAAATTCTTTTAATTTTCATGTATATTTTAAAAAATTCAAAAAATTTTTCACTTTGATTCAAATCCATTTTCATATAATTTAAAATAAAAAACTTTAATAATTTTTTTTTAAATTATTTTTTTTTCAAATTTATTTTGCAAAAATTTTAATGTAAAATTTATCTTTTTCTATGAAAAGATAAATTTTAATTTTAAAATGGATTTTTATTAACTAAATATTTAAATTTTTAAAATTAAAAAAAATTTCAAAAAAATATTTTTTATTTTTAAAAATAAAAATCTTCATCTAATTTTAAAAAAAAAAATATAATAAATTGATTTTAAATTGTCTTATGAATTTTTGTTTTGAAGATTATTTCTTTTTAAAAAAACCATTCAACATTAATTTTTTTAAAAATAAAAATTTTATTTTTTTTAATTTAAAAAATAAAAAATTTCAATAACAAATCCTTTTTGGTTTATTTTTGGAAACTTTGATGCAAAATTTAAAAAAATAATGAATGCATTCAATAAAAAAAAAATTCAAAAAACAATTTATTTTATAAATTTATAAATGAAATTTGTAAAGAATATTGTTTATCTAAATATTGAAATGCCTTTTGATTTTTATTCCCTGTCATCTTTTTTTTTTACAATTAATTTTTAAATTTTTATACTATTTTTTATTATTACATTAATTTTAAATTTATTGAATATTTAAAAATTGAAATTAATTTAATATCAAATTTTAACTAAAAAGTCAAAAAATTTTTTTTGGATTAAATAAAATTTTATTAAATTGAAGAAATACCATGTTTAAAAAAATAAATTTATTTTTAATTAGTGTACTAATAGATTTTTTGAATTTAAATGGAAATAATATTTTAATAATAAGAAAAAAATTTTTTTATCATTATTTTGGTGAATATTGTTTGATTTTGTTTATAGAAAAAATGAAA